TTAAGCCAAAGGTGCTCTTATTTTTTAAGGTTAATTTGAAAATCATTTGGGCATAGATTTAAAATTGTTATTCAAACAAAAAGGAAGTTACTTCATGGAAAGTCAACTACAACCACAATAACCCAATAATAACAATTGACTATTATTAAATGTATTAAGAAATATTTTTTAATTTATTGATAGAAATAGCAAATATCATTTCTGTTTTTGGCCCTCAAATGCCATACCCCTGTGATAGCCCAATTGTAGCTAGTCTTTTTTTGCCTGTTGCTTGGGAAAAATTACCATTCTAGTTTTTTCCCTCTTGGAAGTAGGTGGGTAGATTAATACTACATCATATTTTCAATTTTTGAAGATAAACAAAATCAGCAATATTCACATAAATTTCTTAAAAATTCTTTTTCCATCAATGTCGCATACTTAAGAATATTGTATATATATAAGCCTGTATAAAATCTTGGTACCCTAAATAATAATTAATGCTATTTGCAAGTGCTAAATGTGAAAGATTGAGAAACAGATGTTCGCACAAATTTTTACCTAAAGCCATTATCATCGAGTTATGCAAATCTGTATGATGTATAATTTAAGTATCCTTAAAGGCCTCCTCAACTACTAAAATAACTTTATAACCATCGTAAATTTGTTGAATAATCTCAACTGTTATTAAGTGCCTATAAAAGATGTAATCTAATTTTCATTCGAAAATTACTGATAATCAGAAATCGATCGTACCACTTACTCCAAAACTGATTATTAAAATTACTCCTTTATTTACATTTGGAATTTGATGATCAAATGTTTAATCAGCTTGAAGTAAGTTATTAAAGTTATTTATGACTTATATTCTATCATCATCTATCAATAATATTTTAAAGCAGTTATTTACAGAGCGGTATGCAATCAAATAATTATTTACTTGTTTTTTGAAATCCTAAATTGTTATTCTAAATTCTGTTGGGAATTAAGAATCAAAATGCTCAAAACCCAAGATTACTTAAAGTATTGTAAAAATTCCTGTTGAAGGTAATTGTTTATGTTTCTTGAAATCCAGAGGTACAAGTTCCTGAAAATCCATTAAAATATCCTGAGTCATAAGACCTGATTATGAAACAACAAGCAGAATTAAGTGTAGCATCATAGATGTTTTTAATTAAATAAATTTAATAATACAATGAATACATTCTCTTAAAGTAATTGGATACTTAGGCAAAATAAGTTCTTTTAATAATTTATAAGAATTATAAGAAGTTATTTAATACTTTGCAACGGAATTGACGAATATATTTATAAATATCTTGATGATTAATACCATAACTTATTACACCAAAAATATCTATATCGAAAGAATTAAATATAGAATTTGCTTTTTTATTAATTTTACAAACAATCTCTATGATGCATTATATTGGATTATGATAAATTAATTTTTCCTAATACTTTTTTGGTAATTAAATTTTATGAATTAATACTGAAAAAGTAAAATGACATTAATAATTTCTATTAATGAAAATCTTAGCCTAATGTAGATTTTTTTTGAACTTAATTTAAAATCAGTTTTTTTTTGGAAATATTTATCTCTTTTAGAATTCAAAATACTGTTTAAATAATGTCTTATATGGAGATTATTAAGGCGTTTTTGATTTTGCAAATACTACTATGAGTCAAATTAAAAACAAAAGCAAGTATAAATTGCTATTTATGTCTTAACATTCATTTTATTTTTTTTTAAATTAGAATTAAATTCAATATTATGTAATATATTTCGAAAATTTTATTTAAAAAAATATTTTTTAGACTTATCCTAATTATTTAGAACATAGGTATCAGATAAGTTTAAACCTTAAATTTTAGGTAATATGAATAATAATTATTTTACTCATTTGTATTAATTGATTATAAATATAGAAAAAACTTTAACAGGAATTTTATTAATTGGTGTAACTCTGCTATTTATAAGTTTAAGTATATTTTATTAATAGCTCGATTATAGTGTTATTGATTCATAACAAACTTATTAGATTTAATCGAAATGAAATTTTGAAGATGATTGAAAAATAAACCCAATTTTAAAATCTAAATTTAGAATTAACTTTTTTTTTGGGGACTTGACTATTTTCAAAAATGATCCATTTATATGATCAAAGAAAAATAAATTAATGATTTCTTAACAACTATTCAGAATACTTTTGAAATATTTATAATCGCAAATAAATTATATAAAGATTAAAGAACAGAATAGTAGGTTGAATTCATATAATAGAAAATACTTAAAGAAAATTGCATTTTAATTTTTCTACTAATGACAATAGTTACAAAGTAAGTATATGATGTAAAACCCAATAAAATAAATGATTTATCAGAGTATAATACAAAAATGTATTGTACAAGCATGAAAAGAAAAAAATAATTTATTGATTTTTGATACTCATTTTACTAATTTTACTATTGAAATGTTGTAATTGTACAAGTCATATATATACATTTTTTATTATATATCATTATTATTATTATTTTCCAAGTAAACAGTATTTTACATATATAATATTGCTCTAGGTATTTATAGATTTACAAAATTTCCATATAAACAGATTTGGCAGCTTCTCAGTATAATAAAATTGTTCATAATGTCATGGTAAAGAATGCGTGTTTTTACAATACAACTTAAAAAAAAACCATCTTTATATAACATTTTTCCCTCATTTACAATTAAACATAATATTTTAGGCTAATTAGATTGCCTTTCGTGATTATTTTGGCACTATAATTTTAAAAAAGCGCTGTCATAGGATTTATTAGCTTATAGATTAAGGCCATCTAGATGTATGGATGTTTTAATATAATTCATAAACTAATAAGAATTTCTTCATTTATTAACTCTTATCATTTGAAATATAAAAAGAATTGTTATAATGCAATATTCATCCTATAACTTTATATTTAATTTCAAGGTATAGGTATAACTATTTTTAATAAATACTCCATTAATAAAATAAATTGATGAATTAATATTTAATTAATAATTTAGTAACTTCTTAAGTCTCTTTCAGTTCAGTTCATAGCTTATACATCCAAAAAAATATTTTATTTACAATCAAATCTTAATAAATTTCATGATAGTTTTGATAATTTAGAGATAGAATCTCCCATTCACTATTTTTTTGATTAATTTGAGTTAACTCTGCATCATTGATTTTATCTTCATGATATTATTTTTGAATTAAACTGTAGTAGAACCCATCATCAGTAAATCTCAGAATTTTAATTATAAATAATATATTTAATATTTTTTATAAGTTTTATTAATGCTCAATCTAAAAATATTAGAATTATCAGAGTTCCTATCAATTGATTGATAATTAGATAATTGTTATTTGAATTGTTGATCAAGAATGAATTGACTGTTTTGACAAGTAAAATGTTTATTTATTTCTTAAAGTCTATCAGCTATTTTTAAATATAAGTTTCAACCTTTTTAATCCTAATAATTAACATCATCAAGATGATGATCGAGAGACTTATCATATTACTTTAGTACTTCATCATGTCGATTCATTTAACGAAGTAGATTATCTATTTTTAACGTATAATTTTTTTACCTTTTTATGAATAATACTCAACTTCATCAGAATTTATATCAATTGCCTAATCATAGAACTCTAATGCTTCTTCAAATTGATTCATTTAACGAAGTAGATCAGCTATTTTCAATGTAAAGTTTTTACCTTTTTATGCATAATTATCAGAATTATAAGGATTTCTAGTTATAGCCTCATCATAGAATTATAATGCCTCTTCATATCGGTTCATTTAACAAAGTGTTTCAGCTAATTTAATGTTAAAAATTTTACCTTTTAATGCATAATTATCATCATCTTCAGGATTTATATTTATAGCATAATCATAAAATTTTAATGCTTCTTCATGTCGATTCAATTAGCAAAGAGTATAAGCTATTTTAATGTTTAAAGTTTATACCTTTTGTTGCATAATAATTACCGTTCTCAGGATTTCTATTAATAGCTTACTCATAGAATTATAATGCTTCTTCATATCTATTCATATCTCGAAGTGTATCAGCTATATTTATGGTTAAATTTTACCCTTTGCTCCATAATAACCATCAACATCGGGACTGCTATCAATAGCATAATCATAAAATTATAATGCTTCTTCATATCGATTTATTTAACGAAGCGTCATAGCTATTTTTAATTTTTCGAGCATTACCTTTTTAAGAATAAAAATGACCAAAAAAATCAGGATTCCTGTTAATGGCCTAATCATACATTTACAATGCTTCTTCATATCGATTCATTTAACTTAGTGTGTAAGCTAATTAAAATGTTTAAAATTTTTGCCTTTTAATCCATAATATTAAGCAAAATCAGGATTGCAATTAATAGCATAATCATAAAATTTTAATGCTTCTTCATGTCTATTCATATCTCGAAGTGCATCAGCTATTTTAATATTTTGAAGTGGATACCCTTGGCTACATAATAATTAGCACATTCAGGATTTCTATTAATCGCTTCATCATAGTAATTTAATGCCTCTTCATGTCGATTCATTTTTTAAAGTGTATCAGCTATTCTTAATGTCTAAGTTTTACCTTTTGATGCATAATAATCAATATAATCAGGATTCTTAGCGATAACAAAATCTAATAATTATAATGCTTCTTCGTGTCTAATCATTTAACCTAGCACATCAGCTAATTTTAATGTTTCAAGATTTTACCTTTTTATGCATAATAATTCACAGAATCAGGATTTTTATTTAAGACATAATCATAACATTATAATGCTTCTTTAAGTCTATTCATTTAATGAAGTGAATCAGCTATTTGTAATGTGAAAAGCTTTTACCTTTTTATGCATAATAATCAATATTTTCAGGATTTCTATCAATAACAAAATCATATAATTATAAAGCTTCTTCATGTCGATTCATCTGCTTTAATATTTTAGCTAATTTTTGTGTTTAAAGTTTCTACCTTTTTTAATATAATAGTCAAAATTATCAGGATTTCTTTTAATAACATTCTCATATAATTATAATGCTTCTTCAAGTCGATTCATTTAACTAAGCACATAAGCTATTTTTCATGATTATGGTTTTTACCTTTTTATGCATAATAATTTAAACATTCAGGATTTCTATTAATGGCCTAATCATATGATTATAATGCTTCTTCAAGTTTGTTCATTTAATTGAGCACAAAAGCTATTTTAATGTAACAGTTTTAACCTTTTTATGCATAATAATATGATTCATCTGGATTTCTATTAATGGCCTAATCATAACATTATAGTGCTTCTATATATCGATTCATTTTTAAAAGCGCCTCAGCTGCGTAATATTAATTTTTTACCCATTTCTGCATAATAATAAGCATTAAATTCTTGTAATTATATTATCTCTTCATCCTTTTTTTTTTAATTTTATTCTATTTTCAAATTATAATCAATCTAATTCTAATAATTCAATAGAGTTGTTAATTTAACATTTTTACTAGCTACTTTGAATTAATTCGAAAATACTTGTAAAATTCTTCTCATTATTTAAAGCAATTTTTTATTTGATTTGAATAAATTTTTATAGGCTCATCAAATAATATTGGTTATATTTGTTTTACAGCTTTTTTAAGTTATTAAACTATTGCTAAGAGCATTTCTAATCTTACTTGAATTTAATTTTTTTTTAAATGAATGAAATTGTTTAAAATTGAATCTGATTGTTCTAAAATATAATCTTTTTAGTTATTTTGCTTTCTCCTCATGTTTCTCTTGGAAATTTTAATCTCTTCTTTACTCATTTTATTTTTATCAAAATTTATTTTTAATAATGATTAATTTGATGGAATTATGATTATCCCTCCATAAACTTTTTTATTAAAAATGGATAAATCCTATTTTAAACTTAGATATATCTATGATGGACTTTTCATGAAAGAAAAAACTAATTAAGAGCAGAAGCATTCTTACAAATTTACATTAATAAATATTGTACAACAGGAATACATAAGCAAGACTCAGATAACATTGTTCAAAAATTACAAAAGGATAATGTAGAAATCTTCATAAAATTGAAAGCTATATCGAAAGCAATTTGAAAACCAATTAAATGCTGAACTAATTCTTTTTAATTACCAGGATTATGAATTGAAGCTTACAGTTTACCCAAATCTCTCTTATTCATTTGAGCTTTGTAGCCCAGAATGATATATAACTCAAATTTGTATCCAATTTTTATATAATGTCGAATCAGTCTCTAGTAAAAATTATTTAAAATATACATCCTTATTTTTTCTGATTTATATAAAATTATTCTATATAAATAAATTTTTTAAAATAAATCTCAACCACTATTTACAATCATTGAAAATAATAAATTCTTTTGAACCAGAAGATTGAATTTTTCAATTTGATATTAATCTAATTAGCTTGAATAAATTGAAGTTTTTTGAATATTTGAATTAATCCCCTTAATTCATTGCATAATTCATTTCTTTTTATGTGCAATTATTATTTCCTCATTAATTGTTTTTTTATTATTTTGTTTGTTGTTGATTTTAATTATCTATTTATTTTTATTTAT